CCTCGTTATTTGCCACCCATGCCTAGATGTACGGATGATTAGTATAGGTCGCGACGGAACAAACAAGGTAGGGCATACCTGGGTGAAGGACTCAATGGCGCCTTGGAGATCACCAACTTTGTATGCATTTTGGCCGGCGCGTTGAAGAGCAGCGGCTTGCTCTATGTCAGGCTTCTTTTTTGATATCACTCCGCGTACCATACGCGTACCTGACCTTGAAGCCATGTTGAAGAGCAGATGCAAAGGCGGTTGGTGAGGATTAAGTAGTGGGGTAGGAGCGAGTTTAATGCCACGCAAGGGACAAATAGGACATGGAGATTGGACAATGGCTTATACCCACGCGTCATGTAATGAAGAACGCACGATACTACCATTAGCATATCATTCAATTGTGGATTGAGGATTGCCTCTTCTGACTTTCGATAAATGGATATATTCAATTGAAATACCTCTTTATGGGAATACTTGAGGAAATATCTAATGAAATTGGAAGTCTTGACGCGTCGCGATACAATTCCGCAATAAAACGGGAAGAATCACACCTCCTTCTCACCGCATAAGGAGCTGCACACTTGGCACAAAGAGCCCCCCGTACTTACGTGTTTACTTTCTTCCCCATTCGGCATTCGGAGTTATCTGCATCGACAATAGAAGTGATCGCTGCCATGGAGTCGCATAACCTGCAGGCAGCTTCGACCTATGTCAACAACATCCTGTTAGCAAGGGGCTTGCTGAAAGGTGGTCGTGCCATCGATTTTGCCGACCCAGAAAATGAAGATGGAGGGATAGACGGCACCATGGCTCGTGTGATCAACTTGGTCAACGATTTAGTGTTGAGACGAGACGTGCGTGTATTGCACTGAGCTGCGCCTTCATCAGCGACTGACAAATACTAGCGCGAGTCCGAACACCGCGAGAGCTTATCTGCGACTATTCGCACGTTGCAAGCCAGCGAGGCGGAGCAGACCACGGAGATCGTACGTCTCCACTCTACTTCTGTAGCATAGCGCGCTAACCTTTGCTGCTCCTGCAGGGAAAACTAAAAACGAAGACATCCGAGTTGACCCGCTCGCTAGCTCTGGCAGAGGCACAGGAGCGCACGCTCAAGTCCAACATGTCCCGGGCCGAAGCGAACATCCGAAGTTTTAAGGAACAAGTCCAGCGCATGAAGAGTACCGTCCAACAAGTTCGAGCGCAATGCGCAAACGATATTCGCAAGCGAGATCTGGAAATGCAGAAGCTCAAGTCGCATCTGGCTGAGAGACAACGAGGCAAGCGTGAGGGTCTGGGTGTGACTACAATCAATATCAACCCTGCCTCGGATCGATCGCGTCTTCTGGCTAGTGGCGGAGAACGAGTACATGATCCTGGATATAGCTTGAAGCAAGAGACCACCGACTTTTTGACCGAGTTATGTCAGCACCTCAGTGATGAGAACGATACCCTGATTGAGCTTGCGCGGAACACTGTTCATACTTTGAAGGATCTACAGGGCTTGACGGAGACTGACAATGGCAATGGCGAGAATGAGCAATCGGGTATGGCGATGAGCGGAGGAGCGCAGAAGTCTTCTTCAGGACCCGTTACTTCGCTTCCAACCTCGTGTGAAGAGCTATCCGGTCACATGGAAGCAGTGCTAGAGCATCTACAAACGCTGCTTACTAACCCCTCATTCGTGCCTCTTGAGGAGGTCGAGGTGAGAGACGAGGAAATTAAACGACTGCGGGAAGGCTGGGTGAAGATGGAATCCCGGTGGAAGCAGGCAGTTACCATGATGGGTGGGTGGCAGCGTCGTCTTGCAGATGGAGGAGATTCTATCCAAGCAGACGAATTGAAGCGCGGCATGAATCTCGATCTCAGCATTAACTCAACCGAGGACATGAGCATGCAAAGCTTGGCAGAGTCCAATCCTATCCCGACAATCCTGGAGGACCAAGCTGAGGAGGAAGATACGAGCGAAGCGGAGGAGAAAGCACCAGAGCCTGAGAGGCTCAATCCTCTGAAGATGGGATCTAAGATTCGCAAAGCACCCGAGCGACCCGATCGCGTCCTGAGGGAACGCAGTGAAAATACCATGACAAAGCGTCCCCGAAAGGTCTCATTCACGCCAGGTTTACACGGCTCACCATGTGTGGACAATACCGACGACGATACCCTCAATATCAAAGCCTACAAAGCCGATACTGTGACCCGCAGGCCAACCAGGCGAAAGATCGAGACAAAGGAACCCCAGCAGGTATGCAACGAGAATTATTTCCCAGGATATTCCCATAATATTCCCAATGAGACCCCGAGGACTGATTCGCCCTACAGCTCAAAGCCAACGAACCACTAAGCGTGCACCAAAAACTGGCCGCCGTCGAAGACGAGGCCCGCGCAGCTAAAAATGAGCAAAAGGAGCGCGAATCACGAAAGAGAAGCCGACCTGAAAAGGCTTCCAGGCCAGCGAACCGGCGTCGGAGTACTCTCACCACTGATGAGCTTGAAGATCTGATGGGCGTGGCCCGCTGAAAGATCAATTGATACCCCCACTAGTCTGCATTGTACACATTTTGAGCGAGTGCATGTAAATATGGAGTAACTTTCGCATAATCGCTACAATCGATATGAATTTAATAATGTATCTCTACTTCGGAGTTAAGATGAACCTCGGTAACTTTTTCTTCGGCTTCTCCGCATCAGCTTGTTTCCTTCAACCTCATAAATTCTGGAACTCTAATTTCGCATACATCAAACGTATCAAAACTCAGCACAACACCTACCTCGACACATCTCCGCAACGCAACTACCACCAAACAATGTCCCCTCCTACAGATCAAGACACCTTCAAAGGCTGGGTCGCCCATGACGCCAAAAGCCCCCTAACATACACAACCTACACCCCGAAGCCCTTCTCACCCACCGACGTCGAAATTTCTATATCCCACTGTGGCATCTGCGGCAGCGACGTCCACACTCTACGCTCAGGCTGGGGTCCAACCGACTACCCCTGTGTCGTCGGCCACGAGATAATCGGCACAGTTACACGCCTCGGCAGCGCCGTCTCATCCCAATCGGGCCCGAACGCGATCCGTCTCGGCGACCGCGTCGGCGTCGGCGCACAGAGCGGCGCCTGTCTACGCGCAGACTGCGATGCCTGCGCTGACGGCGAAGAAAGCTACTGCGCCCGCATGACAGGCACGTACAACGGACGCTACAGCGACAAGTCGAAGTCGTATGGCGGGTTTGCTGAGAGGTGGCGCGGGCCTGCGCATTTCGTATTCCGGATTCCGGATTCTCTGCCCTCGGCCGAGGCGGCGCCGTTGCTGTGTGCGGGTGTTACTGTGTTCGCGCCGATGAGGAAGTATGGGGTTGGGCCTGGGAAGACGGTGGGGATTGTTGGGGTTGGGGGGCTGGGGCATCTGGGGATTTTGTTTGCTAGGGCGCTTGGGGCGGATCGTGTTGTTGCTATTTCGCGATCGTCGGGGAAGAAGGCGGATGCTGTTGGTGGTCTTGGGGCTGATGGGTTTATTGCTACGGGTGAGGAGAAGGGGTGGGCGAAGAAATATTCGCGCTCGCTTGATCTTATCTTGTGTACGGTGTCGGCACATGATATGCCCTTCGCGCAGTATTTGAGGCTGCTTAAGCGGGATGGGACTTTTGTGCAGATCGGGGCGCCGGAGGATGCGTTGCCGCCGCTTATGGCTTGGAGTCTTATCCAGAAGAGTGTCAAGGTTACTGGGTCCAATATTGGTTCTCCTGATGATATTCGGGCTATGCTGACTCTGGCTGCGGAGAAAAGGGTTTCACCTTGGATTCAGAAGAGGGATATGGTGGATGTTAATCAGGCGCTAGTTGATATGCATGAGGGAAAGGCGAGATATCGGTATGTGCTGCAAAATAAGAGTGAGCAGGCGAAGTTGTAGGTTAGAGTCCTAGATGTAAGAATTCAGACATTTTACTTGTACGAGATCTGCGGGCTAGGTATCCCTCTAGCCTCTAGGGCTTCGGATTGCTGTCCCGATATGAGACGAGTGGATACCCTAGTCCTGATACGGAACGCCACAAAGCTTAACCCTTATCCGAAGTAGATACCGGAGTACGGAGTATACGAATTCGCCTTTCCTAACACGAATTTGCGTTTCCAAGGACTGCTTGGTGCTCGTTGCAGATCTAAGGAGAAATTCTGGATTAGCATCTATTCGAGTTGAAAGAGTTGCCTTTAGTTTTGTTTTCCAAGTGTAGTCCTCCTAGTCTGCTTTGCAATTATCGCTCTAATGCACACATTTCATTTGTTCGGCACGAGAACATAATTCTTGATCCCGTTAGTTGGCGGATACTGTAAGTACCATACTATATTACGCAGATCACATCGCTGCCTATTGCCACCCTGTTCAGCTAGTATCTACATGGAATAGGCCCGGATTATTTTTATGGCCAAGGGAAGCAGCTTGCCCTAATTTGGGTTAGCTGAATATATTTATCGCGGGAGATGTGTGAGGTAAGCTTCTGGTATGCTTATTCCCCTTATGTCTCTTCTTCATGATTGGTTCAGATCAATTGGCTTTCTCAATGCTCACTCCCAAAGGTGCGGGAAGAATGGTCACCGGCGTAAGCTTCATCCACTCGTCCAGTATCGTTCTCTCATTCGATTCGTCATTCATGTCGTAGAATATGCTCAGGGCACGCATGGTTTTATCATAAAAAAATTCCTTCTAATTTATGTCATTGATGAATTGTTGATGTTTGCGTCATTTTCGTGATCATCACCCTAGCGAGGTAAATTATCTTCGTGGGATGAAAAGAGTTGTGATAGTTATAAGTGGGTTGAAGGCCATGGAAGGCTCGAGCATCGTTTAATGGGTTAGGATCGAGATTTGTTGCGATAATTGTGGAGATATTCAGGTGGAGATCCAAATTGTTTTTCTTTTGGATTGGTGGAATTTCTCTCGCGGTTTCGGCGCTTTGAACTTGGGTATACGGATATGAATATGAAAGTAACAGAAAAATGCTTCAGAATGTCAAGTGCCAACCTGTTGCGGAAAATTAACACCAAGAATCTCTTTCATTGCCCACTGGATCAGCGGCCTCCACTGATCGTCCAATATTGCCCACACGGCCTTGGAGACCCTGACACACCACTCGTCAAAGCACCAACGATGCTTCAAATACTGTAAAAGCACGCCATAGTGCGCTAGCATAACTAGCGCGAAGGGGTCTCGTTCGCGTAGCAACTCCATAAACCGAGGATGCAAGCGGATCACCCACCTCCCAGCAATCGTACTTGCCCTCATCCCGCTGTAGCACCAACTAAGCATTTCCTCCAGATTCGCAATGGACCCTTCATAAACCTGCACGTCATGATTTTTATCCCGCGCCCCGCAGACTTCATTAGCCTCACGCAGTTGTTTGAGCATAGCAGTCGTGTCCTCGGGGATCGGACCCTGAGTCTCCTCGGCCTGTAAAATCGGACCGAAGGAACTGTCCTCTAGAAAACTGGTAAAGTCCCGGGGCGCATAAATAACCTGCTGCACGCCGCGCGCCAAAACGAGAACCTGGTACAAATCATCGACACAGGAGCACGGATCCTGCACGTCTGGCGTATGCGGGAATGCAAACGTGTAGATAACCACAATTCCCGCAAAGGCAAACATCGCCTTCGCATTACTCTCCTTCACGTCGCCCAGTAGCTCCCGAAACAGCGCCAGCGCTTGATTCTGGTGCGCGACAGCACGATTGAGATACGACGCGCGACGAGTCAGCTCCATCCCTGTGCGAGCGAGATGTAGCGATGACAGGGCCAGGACGCCGTGCATGAGGAATGGATGCAAGAGCGCCTCTTCGGGTACGATGTAGCGCCAGATTGGATCGGTGCGCTCGTTGCGTGATAGTGTCCGGAATGTCGTGTTGCACCACTGCATCATCAGCTCCAGGTCGTTGAGGTTCAGTGCGGATCCCGCTGAGATCGCGGCATTTTCGCTGTCGTGCTGGCTTAGAACTCCGAAGGAATTTGCTGTTCCCGCTCTTGCGGTTGGACTCGACGATGAACGGAGTCCCCGTACTGGATCACCAGACTGACCGCTGTCGGACCCGAGAGACGGTACCGCGGGGTCTTCGTTTGCCCACAGTAGGGAGGTTGACGACCCGTACTCACATTCGGAATGACGCTTGGCGCAGTTGGTGCATATTGGCCGGGTTTCATCGCACTGTGATGGGATGAGTATACCATTTTTGGCCCTTCTCTTTTCTTGTTTCTCACCTTGACTCGGCGTCTCTTGCATTCCATGCAGCCGTGGCGAGATTTCCGATGTGGTCGTCGGAACGCCATAGTCATGCAATTTTTGGATTGGCCATAGCTTGAAAGAAAGAAAAAATGAGGCTCTAGGTCTCTCGGGTTGTTTTTAGGGTTGGTTTCTTTGGGGGTAGGCAACAGGATTCGATATCGTCGGGAGGAACCTCGGGATATCCCTTAGTAGCCGAACCCTGTCGATCAAACCATCGAAAAAGGCTTGTCTAATCTGGAACATTGTCTCAGCTTGCACTGCCTCGCTTGGCTTCAGGCATTCGGGATATTTGATTTGGTCTACTTTGTACAAAGTACAATCTATCGTGAAAACAAATTAAACAAATGTAAGAGAATGTAGCAGTTGCTCAAGGGTATAATACCTAAATAACACTAAATGAACCGTCCGGGATTTTCGTAAATCCGTAATTATGTAATATCCAGAACGCCACGGGGCCGTCAATTAAACCTCAAACTTGTCCAACAACCTGATTCTCCCCACCTGCAACGCCCGCCCCACCCCCGCCGAGCTCTGTTTCGCACAGCTGACCTTGTCAATAAAGCTAATTCCCGAGATGAGCGCCATAAGTCAGAACCGCAGCCTTAAGGTTGCATAGATATCCAAATTGCTGCTTGTTTTGGAAGAGATGCCGCTAGAATAAAAGCCGCCACTATAGTCTAGTCTACTCGACTAGTTTTCATTCCAACCACTCGCCGCCAGGCGAAAATCAACTTCCTCCCGTCGTCGAACTGCATGTGGGATCAATATATACTCCGGAAAGCCTTGTTTGTGCAGATATTCTCGATCCATTTGTTGGATCGTTCGGGGTCCAAAGACCGATCTCACAGATCAAAGAGAAGGGTCGGAACTTCCATATTCCCACAACGGGCCCTCTGGGGTCGGGGTACGGTGGAAAGTAATATCCGGCTTTCCAAGTGTGAAGGAGCAGTTAGCGCCATGAAGCTGTGTTTTTGTCTGAGATTGTAGTTGTGGCGCTAGAAGCTGTGGGTAATGAGATACTTGGCGGCTGGATACATGATGGATGTGGATGTGATGAACCGGAGACACTTAAGACACTTGAGACACTCGAGACACTCGAGACATTTCAAAATTGAGCACTTGAGAGTGGTACCATGCGGAGTACTCCGTAGATTTGTGATTAGTTTCCGACAACCCGAGGTTAGCGTGTCAATTATATACCTAGATTCTCTGATCAATTAGAGGCCTGGTCCTGTTCGAACCAAGCATGATTGGGATCCATCTTTGCAAGGTTGAGTTCATGAAGTGTCGCCCGTCGAACCCCCGGGGCAAAATCAGATGCATCAGATGTGGCTTAGTACCTGACTTGTTGACCCTTGCGGCTTGCCTAATCAGTGCACGGCAATGGGCCAATCATGTTATCGCCCCAAGTTGGTGACCGAGGGCTTACAGCTGATCGAATGTTAGAATGGGACCGCTAATTTAGCGTGAAGGAAAATATATTAATCCGTGTTAATCCGCTTTTCGACCATCTATCTGCTCAGAGGGGTCTTAGCGAATGTCGAGATCTCTCTTTACACTAGGATGTCTTCATAGCTTATAACAGACATTCATAAAGACCCCGTGATCATTATTTACAGTATTATCTTTATGGGATAATGCTGGATTAAAAAGAATCCCGACATTCGCTGATGTCTGACATTCGCCGAGCTCTCGGAATTCGGATTAATACATGTTCCTCTGGGCCAAGAGGCGCTAAAAATTAGCGGTCCCATTCTAACATTCGACCAGCTGTCGGTCGGGTGAGCGATCGCCACGTGACGGCGTGCTTTAGTCTGAGTAAGCGCCTTCACGTGACCGACATTCGAGTAAAATCACCTGATCTAAAATAGATGCCTTGGTGCCTCATAACTTCCGCCGTCGCGTCGAAGCAGAAAGTGAAGGGCAAGAAAAAAAACAAGCGAGTCTGGAGAAGAGGGAACTCCTCTAACAAACAATCAACTGCGCCGACCTTCGTCATTGCCTCCAGAATCAATTTTTGTCGATTGATATCGTCGTTTGTTCCATCTAACAGTTCTTAGAGCTGTTGTGACCCAAAACTTGCATCCTCTGATGCCGTCGACCCGTCTCTTCTCATTCTGATCAACCCCACCCCGCGATGTCATTCCAAGTACCCTACGAGTCCAGTCCACCTGAGACTCCAGAGAAAGATAGCTCTCGCAGTCTTTGGAGCAATTTGTCGACAACTCCTGCTGGCCCGCCACCATCGACCGCAGGCTCATTCATACCTCATTCTACATCCAACATCAACGGTGGCTCGCGCATCAACTCCTTCTCCCGAAACGATGGCGCATTCTCCACAAACCAGAACTCCTTCTCGAGAAATGACTTCTCCAACTCGGTCTTTACCAAATCCGGTAACATCAATACAAATGACAGCATCTTCGGATCATCATTTGGATCGACGGATTATGCCATGCCCAAGCAGACCAAAGCCCCTTCCGCTAGGTTCAGGGGTAACTCCAGTCTTCGTTTCGGTGTGCCGAACGGCGGATTTGGGGATTCGCTGGATTTCGGACATTCCAATGGGTTTGCATCGTCGCAAATGAGTGACTTCCATGAAGAGCAGGAAGACGGGATGGAACCAGAGGCAGAGGAGGCAATTGAAGAGGAAATGAACATGAACACCCAGGATCAGTCCAAAAACTTCAACTTCTTAGACTCGGCCTTCGGAAACCCTTTCGGGTCTCAGCCCTCCATGGGTGCGCAGCGCAAACAGATCTATTCGAATCCAAACGATGCCAAGCGACCGAAGCTTGACGAGCACTGGGCGCACCAGTCTCCCCTCCGCAAGACCAACCTGGCCCCCAAGAAGCCGTCCGCGATGCCATCAATTCTTCACAATATTGCTACCAGATCCCGCATTGCCTTTGTTAAAGAGCCAAGTGAGATGATTCTCAAAACGGAGGACGCCCTGGGAAAACTTTCCGACGAGCTCAAAGCCGCGGAATTCAAGCATGTCGATTTCGATGCTGTATTGGCGAAGGTATCAAAGGAGTTGACAGATAATTGGCAGACTTGCGCGAACGAAAGTGGGATTGACCGGCCATACGGTGCCCATTCTGGTATTGGGCCCGGGGACCAGGCTTCCGACCTTGCAAAAGCTACCTTCTTGGCTTCGTTGCTGCTCCAAATCCACCACCCTTCTCGTGAAGCAGCGTCGACTGCCCACATCAATCCCATGCGCACCGGGGCCCCTGGCATGGTGAAAGCCATGACGAGACTCCCCGTCCCTAAGCCTCTACCACAGGTTTTGCTTGACTGGCTCAGTGACAACCACGTATCGCAGACCAAGGAGCTCCAAGCATTGAAATATGTGGAACCGAACCCGACCGCATCCTCGAACTTCTGGGATATTATCATTGCTTCCGTGCTGCGTAGTCGCTTGACTGATGCCGCAGGTGTTCTCCGTTCCGCAGACTTCAACTACGCCCGGTCAGCAATGGAGGATGGACTTCCACAGCCTGGCTACCGTGGCGCACAGCTGCAAAACATCCAGCGTTGCGTTAACAAAGCTCTTCAAATTCTTGAATCATGTCCTGGAACCCAAGCTGAAGACTGGGAAGTCACCGGTCTTGATTGGTCTCAGTACCGGAAACGAGTTCTTTCGGCTGTCACTGATCTGGAGGAATTCGCTGAGGGAGAGGAGCGAGATGAATCGATTATGCCGGTTCCAGAGAATCGCTTCCAGGCTGTTAACTTTGGCTTGTCCACTTTCAACTCAAATACTGCTAATAAGAACCCAATCTCATTTGCTCAATCGGCTCGCATGGCAGAGAGCCGTGTCCCATGGTCAATTTACCAGAGCTTGAGATCTATCTACCGAATTATTCTGGGCGACCCATCTGCCATCAAGGCCAAGTCTCAAGACTGGGTGGAGGCGACTATTGCGTTGACAGCATGGTGGGATGGCGAGGATGACACCGGTTCCAACATGGATTTTGGCGCTAGCGACAACTTCCAAGATTTCCTGCGCTCGCGTGGCCCAAAGAACCACGTTCGCGCTGTTGATCGCAACATGCGTGGCGCCTATCTCGACCGCCTCGAACTAGCCCTCAGTCACACCACCAGTGATGGGTCCGACACCGCTGATTTCCGACCCAATCCGCTCAGCAGCGTGGAAGTCGGTCTCGCATCTGTCTTCGAAGGAAATGTGCAGGGCGTGTTAGAGTTGGTACAGTCATGGTCACTTTGCGTGGCCGCAGCTGTGGCCGAAGTTGCCAGCCTAGGAGGTTGGTTTGAGTCCGCAAGCAGCCAAAAGACGATTCCTGGGCTGTCTGAAAATGATCTTATGGTTCTTTCGTACGGGCAGGATAACAAGTCTCCGGCCCGCCATTTGCGCAAGGACGATATTCTTCGCAGTTACGCATTCGGACTGTATGACCGAACCGTTATTGAGGATGAGCACAGTTCCCGTGAAGGCTGGGAGCTGGCTATTGAGGTATTGAGCCGCATGGACGATGCAAACCAGATGAAGCAGGCCGTGACCGAGATCGTGGATAAGCTTCCTTTGGAAAGCCCTGAGCAGTTAGATAAACTAGTGGTTCTCTGCTCGGAACTTGAGCTGGAGGATCAAGGGCGTCGGGTATCTGAGGTGAGTGATAGAAGGGAATTCCTTTTGACTGACCAAATGCTAACTTATTGACAGCGATTCGGCGACATGTTGACCTCAAAATCTGAAAATTTCGGTCTAGCCCTCGTCTGCTATGCTCGTGCCCAGAGCCGACGCAAGGTCAAATCGGTTGTCGACCTATTGATTTCCTATAGTCTGGTTCAATCACGCGCGTACCCTGCGACGGCCGATCTCGATGAACAACTGCGCTCTTTGATGAAGGAACCCAAAGCGTGCCTGTCATCCATTGCACAAATCGATGAAGAAGCTGCTCGGATTCTCCAGTTCTACCTCAGTGGTTACGCGACGTTGCGCCGGTTCTATGAGATCCGCGATGAGGAATTCGAACTGCAAGAGGGCCAGCGACCACGCTACAAGCCTTTGGCTCGGCGACGCGCCGCTGCACAAGCTCTTGCGGCTGTCATTAGGAGTGCGGCGGATAATATTTACGGAGGTCTCTACGACCCGGACCGTGACTCCGCCGTGCAGGTGGATGGACTGCTGGCTCTGCTGGGTGAAGCCTGTGCATTTGTGAACCGTAAGTCTTCCAAGTTAACCCCGTCAACCTTCTTCCCCGATACTAACCTGGCGCCAGAACCCACCGCAATCCTGTCCGTATCCCAACAGTTCACCATCCTGTCCGCAATCGAGGACCTGGAAACCGTCACCCCCCGTGTCTACGCACAGTGCGAGGAATGTTTCCGGTCCACCCTACTCGAATACCAATCGTCAATGCGCGGAGGATTAGATGGACCCCCCCCCCCGCGCGCGCTATTGAAGAAGTCCGTGTCCAATTTCTCCGCCTCCAGCTTTGCCTTCATTGGCAACGACATGCTCGAGTCAGCGCGGGCACGCTCGGGCTCAGGATCCCACCCTCCCTCCGTGGGCAGCTCCGGCGTCCTAGTGCCTACGCCAGGTGACAAAGCCAGCGCCGATCGCGGATGGGATTGGCGCGCCGGGCTTCCCGAGACCGCTAAGGGTGGGGATATCCTCCAGATCCTTCGGCTGGGATTAGCACGCGGGTTGAGTCACGGCGCAATGGGATCAATCTGAAATTACGGAGTTAGAGTAAGAGGGAGGCCTAGTTTTGAAAATGGGTGTTTTTTAATCCGGGAAATGAATTTAGCTTAGCACCATTTGCACACACACACATCTACTTCAGGGACTTTGTCTTTATGACAGGCGCTGTACGATATCAGAATCACGCGACTTAATTCTTGAGCCAATACCTTCTCTATATGAGCGTATCTACGATATAATCTACGATATCACGTAAAACAACACAATTTCCTGGACCTCCGACCCAAAACGGCAAGTGGGCTCGGGGGCTCGGGCCCTCAGCCCTACGGCCTCTGACGGATAACCCACGAGGTACCGTATATCATGCAACGTGTCCAACGTGATTAGCGTCGAGCTAAAAAAAACCGGTTCTCGCGAATCCCCCTCGGTACTCCGTACACCGTCAACTCTGTTCGTGTTCGTGTTAGCGTCAGCAGCTGAATGCGGGCGCCTAATCTACACGCTACAAAATGTCACCGTTTGAATGCGACAGTGTGTAATAGAATAGAGAGTATTCGCATGGAGACCTAGTCATCGATATGCGGTCAACGGCGGCTCTATACCTAAGCCACACTCCTAGACCTGTGACGGGGTGGCTGTGTTAAGAGGCTCTGACTCAAAACGCCCGGATGTCCACCTGGGCACATTGGATTCATGATCGACGCCACGCAGCCAGTTATATCGCGATCTCTGATTCCTCATCCAGTGTCAATTCTATTTGCTCGCTATTATGCGGCTGCGCAGCCTTGTGGCTCACCGACTCTGTCGCGGGGTTATCTTCCCTATGTGTCCACCGTCTTTCGCTTCCCTGCCACACTTGTAGATCCTTGACTGCTGCGGTTACTATTTCCGTGTCGCGATAGTGAGATTTACGGAGTCAGAGTGTGAACATTCCAGCTGAGGGGATGGGACTGGACTGGTCTTTTATTGTGTATCGCACCCCCACTATCCTCCATAGTCACCCGCTATGTACAGCATAGAGGGGTAAAATGGATACGTTGCTAAACCCGACCCATGCAGACACAGGTAGACCCGCGTCCATAGCCAGTACCTGTCTACGTAGTGGAGTAACAATTCCCAATTCCTCCTCCTTATTAGCCGATTGGGCGCGCCCCGTTGGTTTCTGCCTGGGGCTACATCCCATAGGGCTGACCCTCGGGATATGGTTTTGTATGTTATTTTATATCATTTTATATGTTATTGCATTATGTGTGAATATATCAGGTCTATACTCGCTAAATATATAACCCCCAGTTCCTCTATATACCCCCTCAGTCTTTCAACCCAGTCACTCCCTCGGATTTCCTTTCGGGTCATTCTTCCGCCAGCCTATCTTTCTATACTTGTCCGCTTTATTTTCTGTTATATTTTTCTTCTATTCATTCAATCGGCTGGTTCGCTTCTTCTCTTTCGGCTCTCAAAAACAACCCAGAACAACGACAGTCATCATCCAACCTCAACCCACCCCAAATCCCATCCAATATACCATACGCGAAATGTGTTACAAAGTCGTCGAACGTTACTCCGTTTGCAAATGCCTCTACTTCGAGCACTCGATCGACCCATGCTCTGCTTATGGACAGCGCGGTCATGAAGTACAGGAAAAGACTGTCCTGGTTGGTTATACTTGTGAAAAGCACTCAACAGGCAGTATATCTGCTGTCTTGCCTGGTGCGAGGCGGTGGTCTGATTCTGGCCATCGGAATCGGGACTTGAGTGACTTGGGGGGAAATGAGAGTGAAAGCGAGAGTGAGAACGGGTATATGGCTGCGCCATTATGATTTTGGAGGGGTTTGGTGTTGTTCTTTTTTTCCATTTGAAGAGGTGTGCACAATGAACGTGCTTCGGGTGCTTATTGTCGACACTGGTGTTGGTGGGCCGTTTCTGCACTTTTTCTTTACGCTTTATTGTTCTGGCTTTTGCTAGTCCTTGCTCCTAGAGAGAGTGGACTGCTTTGTCCAACATTGGTGCATTCTACTCTGCGTTTTATTCAACCGGGTGTTGAGTACCGAGACGCAGATATGAAATGCTGGTCCGCGTCCGGAACGGAGAGTGCAGGGCGAACTTGTGAACGAGGAAGAGTGAAGGAGATATATATGGGATATGGGATATGTGATATTAATGGATGTGGTGATGGGCCACCGAAGGACCATGATGTTTTCAAGATATAGTGCATTATAGGCGTTTATTTTTCCCTCGCTATACATTCTACATTCCTAATTTGGATGAGGTTAGGACTGGTCCCTTCTTGTAGCGAGCGATAGTAATCCCTTGCATCAAAAGCCGATTCCCATATTTTCTACAGAGAATCCAACTCGTCAAAATAACGTGCGAGGAGTCCATGCTGTGTCATAGGAAACACAGGCCAAGTCAATGGTACCGGGAAGCAATTTGGGGCACTATCCCACGCATCAGATACCTGTAACACGTAGCTACCTAGCTAGCTCCCTGTACTGAAATGACAATGGTTACACTGCAGCTAGAAACCCGAGTATTAATAGCCCCTCTTTCCCACATCTGATGCACGTATTCTCAGCTTGGTAATTTGATCAAAATGACCCTATCTCTGGCGCCGCAGTACGAAATTCGCCTTCTTGGGCCAGAACATGAGGAATGGGCCCGGGCAATTTGCACTCATACAAATATATTCCACTCCCCGTTCTGGTCGGTCGTCTATCCCGAGAACAAGACCCAGCGAGCCTATCACACTTTCCGGACTTCGTACTATTTAATAAAACACCAGATTGACTCAGGGAAGTCACTTGGTATCTTCGACAAAGAATACCAATACAAGCGACCCGAGTCTGCAGTCACGGGGGGCAAGCTGTACTGGAATCTGGACGATGAAAGTGCAACGGAAAGCGACCTTGCGGAGCAGATGGACTTCCCACTAGTCTCAATTGCCATGGCTTACGATGGCATCGACGATCTAGACATGGTTCAGATAAAGCCTCTGATAGCAACACTGCCCATGTTCGAAACACTATACCACGCCCTCGAGGGGCGAGACCAGCGGGATCCTGCATCGTGGAGGCCTACTGGTCGCGGACAGGTACTGATGCGCAACGCTACCAACACCGTCCAATCTTGTTCCGGCCGTGGGCTTATGAGGATGTTGGCGGAAGAAATGATGAGACGCTCGGCGACTGAAGGGTTCCGGGGTATCCAAATCGAGAGTGTTTCCAAGGTTGTGGAAAAGGTGTGGTCGAAACCACCGGCGAATGTGAATATTTCCAAAATCTTCGTCAACCTCCGGGCTTGAATTCAACCAGTTGAACTGATATATAAATATCTAGTATGTAGTTGGTATATTTTATAGTAGACTGTAGAATATAGATACTTTCTCGGGAAATATAATTTTCTCACTGCCGTCTACTCGATCCCGTGATCATTTATCTCGATATTTCTTAACTGTCCGGCGTCAATAGATCACGGAAAGAAAAAATTTATTGTGAGAACTTGAAATATAAGTCGGCCCGTAAGCTTCGCTTCTTGATTAGTTGCTAGAATATCATCCCAGGAGGATCAGGGGTCCATAAACAAAAAGACCACTCCGCCTAACATAAGAGCCACGAAAAGCACTGTCAGGATTCCTGCTCCTGCTCTATCTGCCGTTGTGATAGGCGACAACGGTGCAGGCCCCGACCTTTCCCCAGTACCAGCACTCGGGTCGCTTGTGCCGTTTCCTCCTGTTGCTGTCGAGACTGGTTTTGAGGATGTGCCTAGAAATTGCAGCATAACAGCACTCATTATCTGACTACCACTCATTGCATTCTCCATTGAATTTTGCCCATCATACCCGCCGTACCAGCGGTTACCACAGAGGTTTTGGTTGTTGCCGGTGCATGAATTTGCAGCACCCTGGGCAGAAACTTGGAGTTTGGGTAGGATCTTCTCCCTGAGGGAAGGGACGATCAATGCAACATCTGCAAGCCACGACACAGTAAGGCCTTTGAAAAGTGGACCATTCGCATCTTTGTAGCATTCGTCCGAAGCTTCGCACTCCCAGTCTGTAATCACACCTCCGTGTTGAGGTAGGAAAAATGTAGTAAACAATGAATCCACTAGGTTGTTTGTGATATTAAGCCATTTAGTATCGTTTGTCTACAACGAGGTTTGTTATTAGCATGCCAAGACAGGAGTGTAGTTCTGATTTACTAAAGGGTGGGGGATAAAAATACTTACATAGGCATACATATAGCCAGCACCAGATATATAGGTACCATAGTTGTAGGTCCACTCGGTGTGGTCAGGAAGACTGCAGCCATTGGGACCCCCAGAGCCTGCTCTGACACTATCTGCCACTGCCCAGGTTTTATTATTGACCAAATTCACCGTCGTAGACCAGTCGTAGACTTTCGCAGCCCACGTGGCGTAGTTGTTCTTTTGGGTATACCAAGCGAGACGAGCCGCGAGCATGAAAAAGCCACCGTTCGACACCGCGTTCTTCATGGTATAACCACTTTGCCATATCTCCTTCTGCCAGCGAAGGCCACCTCCACAAATAGTCGTCTCCCATCCCTTCCCTTCTGGCGATATCTGGTCATTGAAAACACCCTCTGCAAGGGTGAGCCAGGTGTCCCCACTTGGACGATTCGGGAATTTATATTCTGCTGCGGTGATCGCCGCGAGGCCCCAGAACATTTGATCATCATTTCCCTATGCAACGGTTAGCACTTTGACTACATATCTTGAGAGAGACACTTACTATGCCTACTGCCCATGAAGGCATGTAGTCTCCGCCAGAACCCCCCTGATGTTGTAATCCGATGCTGACTTCGTCGTTGTAGGTTGTGTCGTTTGTAGCATGCCAATAATTGAGACATGCTAGAAACAAAGCAGCTCCTGTCCACCAAGATCTTGAGATGAAACCCGGGTTATCTGTCCCATTTTCTTTGTACCATGTCATCATGTTGTAGGCGGCGGTGCTCCCGGCATCTTTGATGGATTCTACTCATTGAAAATATATGTAATTAGCAACTCAACCGTTAGAAAGATATGAAAACATAGTTATCTTACGCTGATTGTTAACATCCAGGTTGAGCGCCAAGACTTGATTTGTAAACAGTAGAATGCGCAACGCCACTATGGCCATATGCCCGGCACCTTTGAACCTCATTGTCCTCGGGGTAACTGCAGCTGCCGGGAGTAGCCAAGGGACCAGATTTATTGGCCGGTGCTGTGTTAAAGACAAGAATTTCGTGGGAATCTGGGATTTGAAAATGTTTCAGCCTGGGAAGCGAGCGAAGCATCAAGCCTTTCCTTATTTAGCTCAGGAAGTGGGGCCAAACCCTCGGATGTTCTTCAACCAAATCCCTTGTCCAAATGATTCGTTGAACGGAGGTATCTACGGGGACATTGAGGCTCGTTATCGTATACATAGCCAGTCTTGTCCTTGTCCTCCGAACGTGCTGCAACGGCCAAAGCTTATCCGCGGTGTGAACGTCGCAATCTTCATAATCCCCCTTTAATTCCTTTGCCCTGCGATAAGAAGTCCGACTCAAGGAAGCCGAAGCCCCACGTATGCACACATGCAGGGCTTTCCAGGGTTGAGGTCCACCCTCGGCCCGGATCCCACGGGCCGACCAAAAGCCAAGACTTGTGAGGTCCCTTGGCACCTGACAGGGTCAACGACATAGGAAAATCAGGTGAAACTTGAATTACTGGTCAATCTTTAGCAACTTTACTTTCAACAATATCCTGAGAGAAAGCTCATAGTTCCCAAAGAGTGCATTTCAATAAGATACCAAGCATAGAGAGACAAAGGAGCAAGGAAGAAAGAGGATTAAGCAGAATTGGCTTATAGGACTAAATCAAAGAATTTCGTCAGTGATCAAGTCATCCTTCAAAGCGGGGTTTTGAACAGGATTCCCTTGGAGTGCCAGCGATGATAGGTGCCAAAAACACTTCTTTAGTGAAACATCAGTCTCCGTGCTCTGAATCACGGGTGAGTATTCGACCTCCACTGTCCGTTAACCTGGACGTGCCTCAAAAAGATGGTTTCTTCATAGGTAGAATGAAATACATAAGGAAGTCGTAGGTCAATCATATATTCGAGCACTTGTCCAAGTGCTAAACGCAGTTCTTGATCGGCGCCGTACCGTTTCCTCAGGTTGTGAGCCATGACCCAGGGGACTTTGAGCTCGCCGACAGCTCGAAGCATAACTGGGGATCTGGGAGACACCATAGCAATACCCGGGGTTTTGTCGTAGGTAATGCCAGCAGACTTAAAGTTCCCAAAGCGGAGATTCTTCTTTTCCGCCCTAAAGACAGCTCCGAGAACTTGACCTACAGCCTGTTGGAACCTTCCTTGAACACCTGTCTCGTCGGCAACATAGACTTCCTCTTGCCGAAGATCGCGGTTGCTGATACGATAATCAATAACAGCCGAGGTCCAACGTTTGGGGTTGTTATTCTTGACATCTTCCTCGAAGTCCTGCCATTGAGATAGCGGGCCAATATATTTGACTTTGTGTATTGCGGATGATAAGGTTTTGTGAGTAGCCTTGAGAAGGTCAGGGAGACAACTTTCGACTGCCTCCTGCGTTGTAATCGTGGGAGATTTCATGTTGAGATGGTACTAAAAGGGGATTCTTATTAGTATACTAATCAAATGGCTCTTGAGTAAGACTCACATCTGAGATGAGAAGAAGATTGAAAGTGAAAATGGTAGATTATGGCAATCTAGAGTGCAAAAAAAGCTTCGTGATGCGCAGATAGCTGAATGAGGGAAACAATGGAAGGAAGGGGAGGCTTAAGAGCTCGGCGTATTAAAAGAGTCAGAGAAGAAGAGCAAGGCGGAATGGAAAGAGAAGTTGAAGGGAAATCAGGCAGTAGCTATAGGCACCTTTAACACTCATATCATTAACCATATCATTGACCATTGGGTATTATACCTCTAGGATTCTACAAACAAACAGTGGCTCCTAGGTTACCCCTGTCACCTAGACGAGATACTACAACTGCTACACGACCCGGATAACTGATGAGAAAGAGAACAATGTGTTGTATTGTGTGTGCTCGCTAAGAGAGAGAGAAGGAAGACCAAACAAGGTAGGGAGCAGGTCCTATCAGTCTCAACAATAACTGTTTTATCTGCAGAGGAAAACTAAATAACAACTAGTACTAGCCTCGTTATCAATATTCACCGGCGTGATGGTCACCATGATTAGTGACATTGAAGCACCCAATCCCAGAACATACGCCTTCAGCCACCCTACTACCTACTATAATGAATGACTTATCCGCTACATGATATGATCGTGGGGGCATTCTGCAGCTAGTTTTTATCTAGCTGGAGGTCCTCTTTTGGTTTGAGATGAACCGCAGATAGTACCTTTCACGTAAATTCAAAATGGCCCTAACTACACTTAACCTCTTTCTTGCTGCCCTATGCTGTATGGTTTTAGGTTTCCTGCTTTTTGATTCACGAACACAAGGATAGTCGGCCACTTTTGCAGCCTGTCATATGACCCAGTTGGCTTGATGGTAGTCTTTTAATGTGCTTTTTTGTATAGTTATCTTCTAGGTAGACATGAGAAAAATACGGGAAAATACGGAAAAAAAGGTTAACCTTGAACGAATTAATGTGAATTTGAAATTAATGCGCAGAATGCATTCACGATGTGTCTTATAGGTAGTTTCAATCTCGGTCTCTATCTCCCATACAACTATCCAATTATGCACAATGGTGTCACAATACCTCGTCGGGTGTTTGGATCACATGACGTATGGCGACCAACTAGTCCACGGGTTAATGTTTACTACCCTCTTCTTCTTTTCCCCAGAAGTGAAAGTATAATACTGCCGCATCGCCATCTCTTCTCCTAGCCTCTTGACACCATCTCTCTTTTCCAAGCTCACGATGCCTGAAATCGAAGCTCGTCCAGTTCTTCCCAAGATGATCAACGAATTGATCACTGCAGCATGCCCGAACCCTTCGGATAAACAATGCGCTACTCTCTATCCCACTAGCCGCTGGCGCATATTAGAAAAGTTGAGTGAGGCATCAGTTCCGGTTACCCAGAAGGATTTCAACATTGGCATGCATCCGGCATATGTCGCGGGAAAATATCTTTGTCGCCGTTCAGGTACCGAGGATATCGCCTTCATGCGTATCTACAAACAGGTTCCCCTATCTGGTACTGAACTTGATAGCTCGGACGATCGGAAGGCACAGGCCTGGAAGTCACGCGACTACGTGGAGCTATCTGCCTTAAAGTATTTCACAGCGAATAACTTTACTACTACCCCTAAACTCCTTGGATATCATGCCAGCACGCAGGAAGAAACCGACCTTGTCCCCGGCGGGTATATCCTCTACCTTGTATGGGAAAAGGTCGCAGGGGATCCTCTTGATATTCAGAAGTTCTGGAATCTCTCCCGCGGGAAACGAGATGTCGTCCGTGCAAACCTCCGAAAGGCCTATATGTTTGTTACTCAGTGGGTTGATTATCATGTACTTGCCGCTAACTAGAATTAGGGACGTTCTAAAGGTTGGATATCAACCGGTTCCGGCGTCCCCGTCAAAGATCATACTCGATATGAAGACAGGTGCTGTGTATGTTCGACTATATCTCTTATAATCTCAAGCTAATAACGTATAGTAAAATCTCCGGTTTCAGAAGCGCTGCCCGTATCCCCCCAGAGATGAAATGGAAGGACTCCTACTTCGTGATGTTTTTCCTGGTCCTAGACTCCCCGAAAGACGATGAATACCTTCCTACCATGGCAAAGGATGTCGAATTTGGAGAACATGGCTGGAGGTGGTGAGAAGGAGGGGCAATCCCTGTCGCTTCATCTCGTGCAGTTGACCAACTAGCTTAAAGAACATATCGATCAGACCATATTTCATATCACGGATGACTTGAAGTATCATCTCACGAACGCACACTGTTGGCATCCAAGAATTGAAAACTTGACATCGTGATGTTCTCCTGCACTAGAATTATTTTTTCCATTGGCTACAATAATATTATCCGTATTGACGACCTCTTGATCTGTTACCAGATTCAATCTCCACAGTGCCAATTGTCAGAAGGTTGACCAGCTGGCATCACAGCTGGCTGATTTGACCCGACATAATGGGCAGCCCAATCCGCTCGCCAACGACCCGGGTTGGTCTCGTGATTCCGAACTGAACTCGACGGACATTGCCGCACTGCTAGATGCTGCTAGTGACCCGTCCAATGGCCTCGATCCAGTGAGAGCTTTTAAGTGACGCCGAGGCTGAACGCTTGGTTACGACATTCCATCTTGACTTGGTGCCCAAGTTCCTTTTCATATATATTGCACACGACAAGACAGCCGCGCGCCTCAGGGACCAAGGGCCTGCTCTCTTTTTTTGCGTTGCAGCCGCGACCATGGGCAGTACATACCCTCTGCGCAAAACTGTCGCCGAGGAGACTATAAAGCATTTTGAGAGTTGTGGCACGGTCGTCATCACAATATTCCCGCTTCTCTCACCCTAGTCCCTAGACTTCTCACCCATCACCCCGCGCTCACCCTCGAGTGCCGCTCAGATGTCAAGGGCATATTGAGAATCGCCGTGTAAAGAAAATAGATTATGTGGCAAAAATAAAAAGCCAAAAACATACAACAGTGAGGATTCGCTGGTGGTCACCCACCCAACTACTAACTCACCGGCGTGTGGCTTAAGTACGGCTGAGCGGACGGGAAGCCCTGTTTTCCACACCCTATGGTCGTATGTATCATGGTATTCGTAGGAGAGGTATATAGAGTGAGAGATTTAGGTTGTAGAAAGGGCTGAGTACAACAATGATAGGCAGGGTAAGAATTGGGTGAGCGCCGCTTTATGGTCACGCGACCGGGGGTGAGAAGGTATGCTATAGACAGGGTGAGAATCTGGGTGAGAACCCGGTGACAATCGCCCTAGTAATACAACACTGGAAGTAAAGAACGTACGGAAGTGCGTCATTTCTGGTTGACACTTTTTAGGGCTTTCAGTAGTACCCGGGAGCGAGATTTCTGCTGGAATATACATACCGCCTATAAGAATGGTACAAAGATAAAAGAATTAATCACTTTATAATTCTCCCCAACTATTCTGGCGGGTGGCAAATATATTCCTATTTTTTAGATAATGTGGCTAGATATCGAGCTAACATAGGCTTGTAGGGGTCGCTGTCCTTCATGCAAGCAAATACTTTCCTGTACTTTTCCTCCGCTTCCAGCATAATACGCTCCTCATCGTCAAATCTGTTATCATCTGGATCCTTCCAATAAGCGTTCGATCGTTATTATCTGCCCAGTCATTCACTACCTTTCCATTTAGAATAGGAGTAGCAATGCCTTTAAGGATCTTCAATGATTTGGAATCCCTTTCGCGCGATAGTCGTTCAAGTTGAGCATCCACATCCAGATCAGACTCTAGGACAGACGACTTGAAACCATGCGGCCCCTCTCCCCGTCCATAAACACGCAGAAATTCGAGATTAGGAGGTAAATGATCAGCTAGATTGAAGGATTGAGGGCTAATCCGACAATCTATCCTGGCTGGATCCTACACCCCGCGTAAGATAGCATAGAGTGTAGACACCGAGACTGAGACTCTTGAGTTTCGGGAAATCTTTCAATGAGATACAGGACGGTGGAACTTCTAGCTTGTGAGTGGCTAGATCACGAAGCTCATCTGCGTATTATTCTTTATAAAATTTCTGTTCATCCTCATCGAGCCCTTCGTTCTCATCCAGCTGGTAATTCGTATCATAAAACTCTTGCCAATTCGTACAAGATTCCATATCAAGATCCAGTACCTCTAAGGTATATCGATGAAACCAAAGGGACTGAAGTAATGGCGCCACGCTTAGTATAGTAATACCCCCTTCCGGGTCCTTTCGCCCATCTACAGTGAAAGTAAAGCTCTTTAGTGTTTTTAACGACTCAATGATTCGACAAAGATCATGTTCCTGCATCAAGGAGTGTATAAAGCTAATCTTGCTATAATTGGCGCAGTGCGGTGGAAGTGGTAGTCCAGCGTTATTATCCCACGATGCTAATCTAAAAGCGACGGATTCAATAGCTGGCAGTTTTCGTACCACGTTTAGGCGATTGTAGTATGGATCTTCCACATATATCGTGCCCTAGTTTCGAGCATTATCTAGGTAGAAGTTGATCTCCTTAAGGTTTTGGCAGTATAGAACTAAGCCGGGTACTACTTTAGAAGCTCGCTGGAGAAGTGGCTTAAGCATGTTTTGAGGGAATTCTAGGGGATACATAGATAGGGATTCAAGGTTAGGGGCATTTGCGGCTAGCATCATAATAAGCGCATCTCTAAACTCGATTGCTTTCGGATAAGAGGGAGATCTATTTCAGAGTAAGTCATATAATATTAGGAGACGTGTATGGAGGGAAAATAATTACCTAAAGTAGAGCGGATCTTGCCAAAGGATAGATAGGATAGATTCTCGATCTTGGACTTTTTCTACGCCAGCCTTCTTGAGGGCCTGCTTGAGTCTGTAGATATCCTCTGGAGAAAACGATCGTTAGGGAACGGGCTCGGATTCGTAGGGAGGAAAGCCGGAGCCCGTTTCACTCCCATACAAGACTAGGCGACGATAATAGCCTCCTAGAGAGGGGTTGGCCAAGATTTCAAGCAGCATGTTCTGACCAGCCTGCAGCTGGACTGTAAAACTCTCCTGTCCTTCCCGACCAAGCTGAAATTCATGATATTTTTGGCGATTGGAGACATCGCTGATACTATGCAGCCCTCGATTTTGGTGCGACAAGGCCACAACATCCCCTGTATCATTACGGAGTACTCCTTGACAGTTTCTTTCCTCTACAACTTTTACCCATGTTCCGCTTTTTTCAGTCGCATTTGTTTCCCAGGAGAAGTCTCATATCACGAAGAATGCCGTTACAAAATCTTCCTCCTGAAGTGCTCGTCAAAATTATCAACAGTCTCACTACTGTGGGGTATTCATACCCGAATATCAGGTGACCGCATGTAAGTACATACTAGCTATGAAGCCTTGGCGCTCTATTAGGGCTTGCAACTAACCGCATATCTTTTGATTTATTCATAGTGGCAATGAGTTTCATCTAGAGAGACTGATAAAGTATGAGCGACAAGTAGAAAATTACGGTTCCAGGCCAGTTCGTACTAACGCACGCTCTCATTTCTCAAATCTCCATGCTTTCAAAAAGAATTGGGAACAGTTTTGGGTATCAAACATGCATCTTGCTCCATGTTATAATATATTTAAAATTTTAATAGTCATCATCAATCTTTCAGGATCTTTAGGGGTTATCAACTTCGGCACCTCGATGCTTTGGGCATTTATCGTTAGCTCCTCGATGGCCCTTGCGACAATGGCGCTATTTGCTGTGGAAACGCCTGCGTAGGCCAGCGAAGCAACCATCAACTTCTGTAGAGCCCATTGTTGGGTCAACCTGGCTGCGGTTTGGTAGTAGTCATGATCAAATACTTTGCAGATGGCAGGTAGGGATTCCGATTTTCCCCACTGCAATAGTTACATATTATTGGTTGATTTACTTAGAATGTTGTAGTCATAGAAGACTCGGTCTAAATTTTCAAGCTTTGTGAGTCAGGACATGGGCCCAGGGGGATCGACCTGGATCCTCGAAACAAGCTTCAAGATTTCATCGTTATATTAGGTTAGAAAATATAAAGGGTGCACATTTATGGCTAAATCTCAAAAAAAGGGAACTCTGAGCCTCGAAGCGCCACTAGTTGCCGTGGTTGAAGTAGCCTCAGAGGCAGACCGAACCGGTGCGGTGGATGTCATCGATGCAATCGGCGTTGAGGGGGTTGAACCAGCCATTTTGGTGCTAATTGGGCTGGTTGAAGATGAAATATCAACGACATCGGTCTTTGTCGAACTTGCGCTCGTGCTAGCGGAGCTTGCATCGCTTCCACCATCGCCGCATTGAACCACAGTCTCCCATCCACCGGCAAAGGTTTCCTCCCAGTATGATGATTGGTTGACAAGAACAAAGTAGCTGAAGAAATATCCCGAGCCAGGTTGCTTGTGTGCGTTTTGGTAGAACTTGATTGCACACTCGTCGCTACATGGGAAGTCTTCTCTGGCCCAATCGTCACTGGCGGGATAGGTCAAGAAGCAGTAATCAGACCTGCGAGAATATCAATATATGTATATACCGTAAGGAAACCACAATGTATCGAACTCACCCACTTTTGGCACAAGCTTGGCCGTATTTGTACTGGAAAACCTCGCCCACGGTGGCAACGGGAGCCTCGTAAATCAAATTATTGCCGCTGGCAAGTCCGGCTAGGTCGCCATCCTTGCTGCACGCGGCATTAACATCCTTGATGTACTGCGACAATGAACTACTGCATGTCGCGGTGCACATAGCTTCCAAATCCGAAGATTGCGGGTCAAAGTCAGGATCCATAGACGCCACGATCTTGAGGAGAGTTTCATCGCAGTTGATACTGGCGCTGTAGGCGTCTTTGCAAGCCTGTGATGTTGTCTTTGCCAAGTCCTTGGTTGTATAGTCCCAACTAGGACCGGCAGTATCGAGACTGAAGGTAGCAGTCGCCTGGCCCAAAGCAGCGGCAAACGCGAAGAGGCGTAACATTATGGTGGTGGGTATCGTTTTGTCAAGAATTCCAAAGAGCGATAAAACAGATGAAAGGTGAGAAATGAGGCGCGTCTCCGGTGACAGAAAGAATAGACTCCGTGCGAAAGTGAACTGGGGTGGTCGCGGCCTATAAATACCCATAATTTTCAACAATTACAAAAGTAGATACTACTAGCCCCAAATTTAAGGGGCGGTTCCGAAATTTAAGCCGCAAGACCCACAGCGAAAAAATCGGATGGGGCCATAGATGAGGCCAAACTGATGTTTTTGATGTTTTTTTGAGCTGTGCAGGACTAAGAGTACGTATCACTTCTACGATATACAATATTCCCAGGTGTGCACGGTGAAGTAGGTAAACTCGCTGTCGATTCGGTCTCATGTCACGTGATGACGGAAATTAAAATCTCCACATCGAGATGCTTGGTCTCATTTTCTTACCAATCAGATGTCCTCGATTCCATCCCTTTCTCTATCGCAGCGATTTGATTGATCATCCGAAACTGCCTGACAGTAGTGCTGCAGCCTAGGGAACTGGCACTGATCAGAACAGTGGAAAGACAGCATCTGGGACCGGGTACGTCGGGTCCGTTAATAGGCAGCCCTTGTCCAGCTTTTTAGAAGTATCGAAATCTGTCCAAGGAAGAATATGAAACCCCCTTTTATTAGAGAACATGAGTTCCCAGTGGCTGTAAAGACAGACAGATTATTGCAAGGAAATGAGATTACTATAATTTTTTGTTCAGAGTACGTTGAAGAGAATATGCTGTCTACATAACTATAACGAAATATATAAGTGAAGGGCGGGCGCCCAATCCACGCTGAATTGATTTTGCTTAGCAAAAGCCCAGCTAGGTCTCATGGGCTGTTCTCCAGATATCTTTATCACTCAGCTTCAACTTACAAATTAACGGAGGCTTCTCCCATAATAAGTAAGAACGCTGTCTGTCCCATTCCCCGCTTTTCTCATGAAGTTTCAAGTCAAAGCTCCAAAGGACCCGTGCAAGAATCACTCGTGACTCGCTATATGCTAGTTCTCTCCCGATGCAGTTCCTTGGTCCCACTGAGAACGGCTGGAGGATGTCTCGATTATCGTTGTAGAAAGGCGAGGATGGGTCATCTCTGGCATCCTCTAGCCAACGCTCGGGCATAAACTTGTCTGGAGCATAAAAGTTCATGGGTGACTGATATGCGGCATATTGATGGACCGATACTTTCGTCTGCTAAACATCAGCCATTGTTCGGTGGAAAGAAAACAGGAATATCAATTGAATTACGGTGCTTACATTTGGGGGCACGACGTAGCCCGAAATGTTGGTTGGCCCAGGCCCAAGCGTTATCCGCTGCTGTCCAGAGGGCGCTGGTGGATAAATTCGCAATGCCTCCTTGAGACATGCGAGCATGTATGGCAGATTTGCGGTGCTTGAGATTGTGATATGCTTCTCGGTCTTCATAGCAGATCTTATTTCACGAGTGAGTTTTTCCATGGCGTGTGGCGTTCGCAGCAGCCAGTAAGTAATTCCAGAAAGTAAAGTAGCTGTCGTCTCGCTGCCACCAATGACCAAAACGTTAGAGTTCGCTTCTAACTCCTCCTCGGTAATCTCGTTGTTTGAATCTCCGCGTTGCCGCAGCATGCTGTCAATGAAGTCTGTGCATTCTCTGTCACCCTGAAATTGGAGACGTTTCTGGATAGTGGCTCGGCTAAATTCGATTTGTCTTTTCCGTGCACTCATCAGGCTTTTCGAATCAACAAAGAGAGACAATATTCTGAACAAAAACGGATAGGCATCTTTGAAGCTCACAAGGGACATGCCTCGGATTGCCTGAAAGATGGTCGATACCCAGTAATGATATTTAGAAGATTCCAATCCTCCAAATGGCTCGCCAAAGGCGAGATCTCCAAGTATGTCGAAAGTGGTCAAGTTGTACCATTTTACCATATCGGCTTCCGGAATGGGCGAGGCGGCAATGATTCTCAGCTTTTCAATCAAGAGATCCACATATTTCGTGATTATGGGCTCCTGGGATTGCAGGCCTTTCGCAGAAAAGGCATGTGCCAAGGACCTGCGAAGACGGCTATGATCTGCATCGTTGGCACTAATAATGTCGGACGGGTTACTGGTTGAATGCAGCACCTTTGGTAGTTGCCGATGGCCATGACCATATATGTCTTTCCATGCCTGAGCGGTGATGAAAGAGACTTCGTTTGGGCCAAAGCGAACGACTTCACCGTATCTTTCGTGAAAATCTCGCATTTTGGTTTCCAATCGACCCTGGGAAAGGGCAATAAAACGAGTGATAGGAAAGGCAACCCATATTTTCGGACCGGGGAGGTTGCTAAGTGGATGGAAATAGAGGGTCCGAATGATATTTAAGAAGGAAATGGAGAAAAAGAGTATAGCAAGGAGAAAAATGGTTGTCAACATGATTTCGACGGTTTGTTGCCTTCAGGCTCTTGGTATTGTTCACAATAACAGAAGACTCAAGAAAAGAAGAGTATATATTTGTGTCCCAAAATTCGAGATACAGTATATATCAATATATATGAATAACTAAGGTCATCTTTATTTCAACCTCTATAACAAATTGCCATACGATTGATAGAACCCTCTTGGTATGTTGTGCAGAACGGAGCCGCCTGGCATCGGATCCGACGATCATCGGAGCCGCAGGAACCGCATTGACCAATGAAAGTACGTGACTCCACCTATGTCTTCGGCTTAATTCTCATCCAAGCCCTGGATATATCCTACAGAAATAAACGTACAACATTTCTGGGAGTATCGCCTACACTCTGAAATGTCCACTCTACCGACGCTCGTCTTCATACCTGGCGCCTGGCATAAACCTACATGCTACAATAAGGTCATCAAGCTCCTCCAAGATCAGCATAAGTTGAAATGCATCTCCATAACTCTACCTTCGACGACGGGAAACCCAGCTGCAACCTTCAAAGATGATCTTGATGCTGCACGTGAAGCTATTCTGTCCGAGACAGTCCACGGTCGCAATGTCGTCGTCGTTGCGCACTCCTATGGCGGCATGGTTGGCAATAGTGCCATCAAGGGTCTCACGCAGCCAGACTTCACCGAAAACCAAAATCAAACCTCGACAACGGGCTACATTATTGGCCTAATTCTCATAGCCTCTGGGTTTACCCTGAGTGGACTTGCCTTCATGGATCCGTTTTTCGGCCATCCCCCTCCATTCTGGCGGGTCAACAATGAGACCGGATATGCCGAACTTGTCACTTCACCACGTGAGCTCTTCTATCACGACTTGCCAGCAGAAGAGGCGGAATTCTGGGTTTCGCAACTTACTACGCAAAGCCTCAAAGCACTGTTCGAGGGCGGGGAATACTCATACGCCGGTTGGAGAGATGTACCTGTTTGGTATATTGGCACCGTCGAGGACCGAGGTTTGCCGGTAGTGGTACAACGCATAAATATTGGCATGGCAAAGGAAATTGGTGGCATAGTGGAGCATAGGGAGCTTCAAACGAGTCATTCGCCCTTTCTGAGTCAACCAGAAATGACAGTCATGATCATGCTGGAGGCTGTTGAGGCGTTTACGGGGAAGCTAGGGGTAAATCAAGCTACAGCAAATGGCCTTTGCGATGCGATAGTAGCGCCGAGGGCCATGATCACGCAGCCTTTCACATGGTTCAGCTTTGGACTCCCGCTGGTTATTGGTCATATATTAGGAAGGTGTATACTTGTATTTACATGGGGGAGGAGGCTCTGGAGGTCTACTTAGGTAGGATCAATTAATGTATTTTTGATATTAGCTCAACGGATATTCATCAAAAAGTTCAAGGATTTCTGTCGTATGGGTAACCTGAGAAGTAGCGAGGGTGACAAAATGATAACAAGATGGAAAGTTCATTAAATACTACCTCTTCCGAGGATCTATTGGAAACGGTCCAGGGGGTATTTACCGCGTGTTATGACGCAGTTCTTCGGCATAAAAGACATTGTTAGATTAAGCGGATAGAACTACCAGCAATTGGAATCATTGCTAGCGGGTATTGCCTACATTATACCTATTTAAGAATTGACGCATGTATCTAGGACACCTGTGCGGGTGTCGGGAGGCTTTTGTTGGGCTCTTTGAAGAAGGAGGAGTCGAAAAAGGTCATTTCTCGTATGGACCCACCGGGAATATTCTCTGCAATAGAGAACTTTGACATTATGGCTGATGAGAGTTCCCTAGGGGTTTCGGGATGATATTTGAGCACCTGAATATCCCACGTGTAACTACGTAGTCATGTGATATGCCAGGATTTCACACTTTGACTGTGCCGCCAAGCTGATTTCGTTCATGTCAATACAAAGATACCTAGGCACTACATGTATTTCCTCAATCAAACTCGTATTTGTGTGAATGTAATAGTTACCTTATAAGGAATGTTACGCGTACTGAAAGAAAGAAATAATCTAGTATGCTTCCGCATCATAAAAAAGATAAAAGAACAGTTCTAACAGTTCTAGCAGTCAATAGAAACTAACATTGGAAGAGGAAAGTATGGTTAGCTTCTGTATTCTAATAGTCGACCTTAATATATCAACTAGCATCATTGGTCTAGTGGTAGAATTCGTCGTTGCCATCGACGAGGCCCGTGTTCGATTCACGGATGATGCACAATAATTTCTTTTTTTTTGGTATCAAATATAAGTACACCTCACTGTTCTTAGAAGAATCCTAACCTGGATAATATGTAGCTCAATGCAGCGAGAGCTGTTCAAGCCTTTACTTGACAGTTTGGTGGTTGGGGTTTTGGAAAACACAGATGATTATATTTAGATACTTCCCGTTTTAGAGAGGGATGGATCCTAATTAGGATTAGCCCACTGTGACAGTAGTGAAATCGCTGTAAAAATAGTGCTCTCCGATGATCCAGATAATCCGCGGTAGATTTTTTCGAATGGAGATGAGCCTACAGAATATGAGACTCGAGGAACTCTCCTGATTTAATGCCTTTCTACCTAAGTTTGGACAATCTGCCCGGCTTCAAGTGGATGGGCCCAGGTCCTCTATTTATCTCTACTTAGGCTAGCGACATCTTCCTGACTTTGACACTCTGCGGTACATTGGAAGGCGATCATGTTGCCTTTCCCAGAGAGATCAGCCTCTTGTGGGATTCTCAGCTCCCCGTTAAGCCTTGGTCACATATCCCAGTCCCGTGGAGCAACTTTTCTCGATTTTGCCCGCGGGGTTCCTCCGGCCCCGGGTGCTAGGGCAGTCATTCCCTCCCTGAGAAGACTTGTCCTCTGTGGTATCACCTTCTGTCGATCTTGAGGGGCTTCGGGTCCTCGGATTCGGAGGGGCACAGGGACAATGCACGGTGCAATCGACTGCGAAAGCGCAGTCGTCGATCAGCGGAGGAAAATTTTGGAATGGCACTCATAATTGCATGTAGGTACACTGAGATGACAAGCGACCATATGGCGAGCACACTCAGCCTTTATACAGAGTCGGTACAGGAAACCAGAAGTGAGCGCTCTGCTAGCTCGCAATCGGGTGTTTCAAGCTTCACTGTCTTCCACCTGGCCCTGCCGCAATTGTCGCTGAAGTTGCATACGTTTCAACCACTCAGGCACACAGCGGTCATCAACTTAGTGTGGCCCGCCCAATAAATGATATGCGCTAGGGCCTTGGCAGCGGGGCCAAGAAAAGAGTCTCTTGTACTGGTCAAGGCAATTTCGAGAATGACTGTACCATCCGAAGCATACTGACGTATTTTGAGGAGCCGCCTGTCAACAAAGAATCTGCGGGCCATAATGTTGGCGGATTTGATGCTTTCAACTATATGCTAGAAAAATGACGGATCCGTCAAATTCTGAAATATTGATGGGTCCAAGTGATCAAAGCTGAAATTGTCGTCATCCAAAAAACCGAGGCCAACGTCGAAGGCTGTAGGAGTGCACATTATTTCCTCATGCCTCCAAGCCTCGGCATTACTGTCGCCGCCATTATTGCTTAGATCTGTCGACATGTTGCCCAGAATGGTCTCACAATCATCTAGGCTTTCCAGTGCAGCATTTTCCATAGCCTGTTCGACCGGTAAACCATCGAGCACAGCCTCAGCTCGAGCCGTTGCTATCCTCAGAAACAAATACCCTTTCACATTTGTTTCTCCTTGGCACATCCGGTCCTTTGCATACCTAACAACCCGATGAGCATCTTTAAGTAATGGCTCTTGTCGGGCGCGATTTCTTCTCTTGGCCAGAATTGAAATATCCGACTCATGACTTTTGTGCAATTCCAGGTATATCATCAATGCACCACGTGTGATGATGTCCCGAAACATACCACCCCCATTGACCAGCAACCGGCTGTAGAGATCATAATCGAGGAGCGATATCAAATCCAGGGCAACCTCAAGACACACTTTATGTGAGTGCGCATAGAGTGGGTTTCGTGTCGCCTGTATCGCGTAGTTGAAGTGAAGACAAAGAAGGAACCGATTCAGGAGATGACTGCAAAAGCTATATGCAAATTGGCTTCCCAACGATATATGCTCCTCGAAGAGATTGTGAGATATCTCAACCGCAGCCTTGCGACAGATCGAAGCCAGCTCATTTCCAAGGTCTAAAACCAAATTATACGAGGGTTCTTCCTGTAAGCTGTTGATGACCCTGGTGGCCCTAAGTCTGAGAGAGAAAGAACTGGCCAACACGCACAGAAGCGGCTGCCGAGTCGAGCTCGTAGCTATATTTTCCCGGTCTTCGCTCACTGCAGAATCTAGGTCGGCATCTTCTATTCCAGATGGCGGCATAGTGTTGTAATCGCTCTCGGTAATCATCGGGGCCATCCCCGAGTCCAAGGCCGCCTGAAGATTCATCTCAAGGATGGTATACCATAATCTTCTCCGAATCTCTTTTTGTCGGAAGTCCATATCACCCAGATAGTTGGGATCCTGATGCAGGCCCATCTGCATGGCCATCCTCATTAGTGATCCCGCGGAGACCCAGACTAAGTCTGCTCCTATTCGGTTTACCTGGCGGGAAAGGAGCAATAAGCAATATATCTGAATGCCTTTTAATGTCAAGCGGTCTTTCTCCAGCGGTGCGGAGAGCCATGTTTGGGCAATATGGATCCAAGAAATACTCTTTTCAGCCAACTCACGGCGAGTGTCATCATGACTGTGCAACGGACCAGCGGCGGAAATTATGAGAAAGAGCTCCACAACGAAGGAGCCCTTTGCGCTTTCTGGATGATCGATATAGCGCTCATAGTCCACCTGGAACGAGGAGCGATGAAGAATGCGGTAGCATGACTGAAATGTTGCAAAGTACAGTTGAACGAGATCGTCTATGACTTGACGTTCGGGGAATGAGCGGTGAATTTCAGCGGGAAGGCTCCGTCTGTTTGGGCGCTGCTTCTTGATTTCCCGGGCCAGTTCTTTACATTTTGCCATCTTCTGCGACATAAGCCCCCGGTTTGCATCGATCGGTTGTTGAAACAGCGTAGTCTGATATGCCATGACTGGCTCTAGAATGGACAATTCGGAGGCCTTGGTGGGCTGTCAACAAGGGGCCGACCATACGGAACAGGAAGAGACCATCACTTACCAGGCGCTTTGTACTCATCCAATGGCCCTGTCCAAAAACTCGAGTCTTAGATTGGGTGCCATGGATTCGGCCAGACGGAGCAGGGGTAGGTGGGGAGATATTCCTAGAGAGGGATCCGTCAGGGATTCTCGACGTTCTGTGTTCCTGCTGCTTATTGGCTTGACTTTCGCGCAAATTATGGTCGGATGTGACGCGTCGGTTATCTGTAAACGTGCATGACGGGGCATTATGCGCGACACACTGGCTGCAAGGGTTGGCTCGGTCGCATCGGACCTTGCGACGGCGACACTCGACGCAAGAATGAGCCGGGCGCCGGCGTTTTCGGATGCCACTTTCTGGACTTTTCGTTGACAATTGCATTTTGCAGATGCTATTGGTCCCACTTCTACTGGTATTTTTCGTGTATAAGTTAGGGTAAGAACTCGCGAACTCGGTGAACTGCGCGTAGTGAAGTGGCTCGGTGCTAAATCTGTAATCCGATATCTCCGAAGCCAAGACTTAGGTGGGGCCCTAGCTTAGAACTAGCCAATTGTAGTAGATAGAAGGAACCGGTATACAGAAGGGTGGGAGATCTGTAGTAGGGGAAACAGGGCTTACATTTAGAATCACAAGAGAAATCACTCATTGAAATTGCATCTGAAGATGTTTCGAAAGCTGCATAAAGATGACATTTGCAATTCTCTCGCTCCATGCAGCTTCAGTAATCTTCATGTACCGACTAGCTCTAGTTCATTCCGCATGTGGCTCGGGAAAAAATGTCCTATCGAATTGCGTAGAAACAAGAGGTGCGCTAGATACAAGTACTTTTAGCTTATCATGGGCGAGGAAATGCCCTGTGATGCTATCCACTTCAGTGAAATAATCCTCGGCCGTAAGGCTAGAATTTACCGATGAGGCCGATAGAGCCGATTACGCCCGCCGGTCGACTACAATGATAATTACTGGCAGGGTACCTTCTCAGTTGATAGCGTAGAATATAAATAATCAGCGAGTCATTTCCATCAGTACCAGATCATAAGTTATCTTCTCTGATTTAACCACCTGCAATCTTGCAGCCGCAGCAGCAAGGAAATACCTCCTCGATGTTTCTCCAGTACGTAAATGCGTCTTTCCCTCTCTTTTTTACTCGTTCCTTTGAGGGCCGCTGAAACAGCTAGATGCATATGGCATCCTCGCTCGGTTTCAGAAAATGTACCCCTTCATACAGGCAGTCACTTACACATTACCAGGGCGTCGAAACGCAACCTGAGCAGTAGACGCCTCCCAGCTCTGCAATCAACAACAATGCCCCTCAACGTCCTCATCGTGGGTGCCGGCGTCTGCGGCCCAGCTCTCGCAATTCTTCTCCAAAAGTCTAATCCCAAACACAACATCACGGTCGTCGAGCGTTCTCCCTCTTTGCGGTCGATAGGACAGCAAATTGACCTCAAGACTCAAGCTCCTCATATACTGAGAAAGATGGGCCTCCTGGACGAAGTCAAGTCACGCTGTGTTAACGAGACTGGTTTTGAAATGGTGGATTCCACGGGAAAGCAAATTGCTTTGTTTGGTGCTGCTGCCTCCGGTCAACGTCGTCCCGGGTTGACAAGCGAGCACGAGATCATGCGTGGTGATTTGGTGCGAGTGCTATATGATGCCAGTATCAAGCAAGATGCAGAGCTAAAGCACGAGTCGGGAAATGAGAAGGGAGTGACATATGTATTCGACAAAACGATCACAGCCCTCGACGAGACCACGGAAAGTGTCGATGTCACTTTCTCTGGTGGGCAGAAAAAACGATATGACCTCGTTGTTGCTGCCGACGGACAAGGTTCACGCACCAGACGTCTCGCCTTTGGCCAGGAGGTTAGCGATGCAGCTTTTAAGTCCCTCGGCGTCCACGCTGCCTACTACAGCATCCCACGAATTGAAGGCGAAGGATCTCTCGCAAGGGGCCACTTGGCTCCGGAAAGAAGAATGATGATAACCAGAACGAGTGATCGTCCAGTCACCGGGGTGTTACTCTTCACCATGAAAGAATCGTCCAGGCTAAAAGCATCTTACCAGAAGTCGTTAGAGGAACAGAAAGAAGCTTTTGCCGAGATGTTCAGGGATGCCGACTGGCAGACTGATCGATTGCTCACTGGATTGAAGGCTTCTGAGGACTTTTATGCCAATGAGGTTGGACAAATCAAGATGAAACAGCTGTCTGCTGGCCGAGTCGTTCTCCTTGGAGATGCGGGTTACTGCCCCAGTCCTTTTACGGGCTTGGGAACCAATCTTTGCCTTGTTGGGGCGTATGTCCTTGCAGGAGAATTGGCGCGGCGGGGCAATGACATCGCGGGGGCACTCAAATCTTATGAAGAGAAGATGCGACCCTTTATAAATGATTGTCAGCGATTCTCATCTACAACCTTCGGCTTCTTCTTTCCATCTTCGCAGCTCGGAGTTTGGTCTATGCAAAGAGTGATGTGGGCAGTGTCTAAAATCAATGACATCTTTCCCCATTCCCAACAAGACGACTATTGGAAGGATATCCCGGAGTATCCCGAATTGAATCTCACATCTTGATTGTGTCTTACACGTCAGGGATATGCCGATGTATTTCTAATATTTTTGTCTTCATTCTTACTGCCCTGCAGTATATGCACTCATTCATAAGTTGCTTAACCACTTGCTCAAGATCTGCCATGTTGAATTTGGTCGCCCATTCCCTGTCAATCGTGAACCGGGCCATTCCATCCTAGACCCGACCATTGCGAAGGCTTCAATTAGAACCTGTTTTTGACGCAATAAATTGTAAAGCATTAAGTTCATATCTTACAGTTACGACATTGAAGGCCTCTATGGCAGAAAACAGGTCAATGGTCGTTACAGAGATTCATTCCAGATCAGTAGATCTATTCCGGTCCACGTTGACGATGATAAACCCGCATTTAGGGGCTAAATGCATCCTTAGCCGGGGGTTATGTGATGATCCAGGAAGGAACGTACTTGCTGAACTGACACTCGTACTTGCCGCACCTACACTCTCGCTCCTTCCACAAGTAGCATTGGGAATAAGCGATAAGAGCTCGACTTTTGCGTCTTTTGCAAATTCGAAGTACAAAAGGGGAGGAACGGCCGCACAGATAGTTTTCTCTTTTCCTTTCTTCTCCTGTACTTAGAATTTGGATGAAATTGCACTCTTTTCCTCTGGATAGATCTGGCATGTAACAGATACTATCTACCATCTAGCATTGAAATCCAGTTTTTAGAATTAAATTATCTCTCTTATTGGTAGTGGTAGAATTAATATGAATAGCTTCATGTTTAACAGATCAGGTGATCAGATCATTGTACCTTCGGAGAGAAGATTTTGGTTTCTTGAAGTGGTCGGAGGCAAAGACAATTTTCATTGACTGCATCTAGCAGGAATTCATTCAATGTACGATTCCGAGGTATCTGATTCCGGTAAGCAAAGACTGGCTTTTATTGACAAATTCCCCGCGAATTTGGAGCAGGTTCAATGGCTCAGTTGCCATTGGGAATGCATTACATCATGTCAAATATTTTCAAATGACCGAGAATTTCTAGCTTCGAATCAGGTGTGGATCATCAATTATTGCGGAGCTTGTTGACACTCAGATATTGACAGGTAGGTTTTGTGCGGTAGAGTAGGTATGTTCGCCGACTTGAGTAATTTTCTCTCCTGGCGGGATACTGGCTCTCAAATCAAGAGTGGTATAATAACTCAATCTCTAGCTCACGATACATTAACTTGCTTTATCGTACAGGTGGCCCGAATGCCAACGCAGTAAAAGGTACCTAATATGCAGCCGATAATGCCATGCCATCCATGCATTTTCATCATACCAAGAACCCGGACATTTACACCTCCATCCATTCTTTCTCGTTCTCGTCGGCAATACTCTCCCGGTATGGATGTTTCTCAATCCATTCCTCTGCGCCGACAACTGTCGCAGACTTCTCATAGAACTCGCTAAGCACCTCGTTCAGCTCTATAAATCATTAATACTCGTCCAATCCATTCCCGTGTCTCGTTTTAAGACTCACTTTCAATTTCCATCGGGCTTGAAGGTTGCAGTGAAAAGCGAGACGCGCCTTCTCTCCATAGTACCAGCGCGGACGGGATGGGAGTACCTAAGATTATAAGCTTTCAAACAAGATTGAACATGGAAAACAGCATACCTCGTGGGACGCAGATAACAGTGGGGTCCAAACGACATTTCCCGTCGGTGACTTCTTCCTGGTACCGCTCAAAATCAAAGCGTAGCATTTGCTGCATAAGACGAGAGTTCGGCATGAAGACCGGCCCATTGGAGTCTAATAGGTAGATGGTTAGACTCTATTGCACAAGTGCTAGACAGGAGTTTACAGACAGGGGCTTGACTTCGCGATAGTCGCGTGAACCAACCCATCCTTAGACACACTGACTGCATCCTTCCTGTGGCGGGTCTCGTCCTGGGTCACATCATATAGTGTGGCCTTGCGATTTAGCTGGTATCTATACATGGTCGCGGGGAATGAAGCATGGGTGGAAAGGAGGGAGAATTTTCGCGCTTGGTTGATGTTCAGCCGGGCAGCTGGTAGCCAGTGAGTGGCGAGCATGTTGCTAGAGTGTGTTGCAAGGTAATGGATGTTAAGTTAAAGGGGCGAAATTCTTAAGTGGTGTGTGTGGTGTGCGGTTAAATTAACCTCCAGATATCGCGGAAATTGGACCGCGGATGGGGAAAGGAACACGGGTCCATGACATGACGCAATACTTACATATGACGTCGAGGTTTAAGAGGATCTTTCTGCAGGTGAGCTCTACGTAGCCCGATATATTTCTATAAAACATCTATCTGAATATCTATAAACTCTCGCATGAAAAGATCCGAAATATTAACGTGGGATGCGAATTGCTTCACACGCTTCTGTAGATTTGGAACTTCTAGAAATAACGCGCCGTATTGTAATGAAAGTCACATGATCGGGAATGCAGTAATTTACTACGAACATCCGACACTCAACGATTACATACTTGTTCCAGGAGATAATTCTACCATTTGAATTTCGATATCCTCCGTGGAATTGCTTTTGAACTACGGAGTACTCCGCATATATCTCAAGTCTCTCCACAGCTCATTCACCCATAACCCATTCCCGCACAAGCCGCTATTTTATGATTCTCTTCCACTTCAAGTTTGATACATACGACCATAGGGTGTGGAAAACAGGGCTTCCCGTCCGCTCAGCCGTACTTAAGCCACACGCCGGTGAGTTAGTAGTTGGGTGGGTGACCACCAGCGAATCCTCACTGTTGTATGTTTTTGGCGTTTTATTTTTGCCACATAATCTATTTTCTTTACACGGCAATTCTTAAGTGTACCTTCTCTCCTAATGTTCCATGCATTGGATACTCCTTGTCCTAACGAACTACCCGACCAGCGTCGCGAACGCCTCGTTCGCCAGTGACTGACTATTGGGACGATGGGTAGAGAGGTTAATTTTAATTGTCACCCTTTCGCTGCTCTTTCCTATCTGCCATCTCTATCGCCCTGTGGCGGTATCTGGAAAGGTCTTGATTCGATATTAGTGAGCAACTCCGGTTGCTTCAAAAATGAGTCTGAATTGACCGAATTCCCCATAAAGTTGGGAATTCAGCATCAGGACGTTCTTCTCTGGATTGATCTGTTCTGAGGTAAAGGACATATTGCGAAGAGCTGGAACGTAGCGCCTTAGATAAACGATGAAAGCAGTAAGCGAGCAAGTAAACATAAAGCATATGATAGCGATCTATCGTAGATCGTGACAGTTTATATACAAATTGTACGTCATTCCATTATAGATCCTCTAATCATAAATCTTAGCCCTACTACACTCACTCTAGTTCTCTAGCTTATACTATATCCGCGTAGCTCTTTACCATGATTAGATTCCACGAATTCTATAACCGACATAAAGCCGGAGGTTGTATTTATCAATTAAACCGACTTCAATAACGCTCTTAGGACCTATCTGTATAGTAGTAGGAAAAATTTCGAGGGAAGAAAGCAGATATTGCAGTGGGGAAAGTCGGGATGCCTAGTTTAGTGGCCTTGTCCTTCAGGCAGAGAAAACGAAGGCCTGGTTGTCAAGTAGAGTCTCGGAGAGCAGATAGTCTAGAAGGATCATCACCCCAAGAATGAAAAAGGAGTTGCGAGATGTTTGTGCGCTAGGAGATTGTATACTATGGTGTGGTCTATGTGATCCCTATGCTTGCTAGCTGACCGTCCTGGATGGTTGGTGTTGTTGTGTCGTCCTCGTCTTGCCTGCATGGCCAGGCTGCCCATCGTGCATTTCCCTCTTCAATATTTACGTTAATAATGCGTTTATTCACGGTACTATCTAGTGAACCACAGAGGAAGTTCTATATTCTCCGGTCTTGCCGGAAGGCTCGGAATGGAGCGGAGGTGTGAAGGGACGAAGCTAGTTTGGATTGAAGCTAACTAGTTAAGCCGTTTGCTGTTATCTAAAAGCTGTTCGACATGTCGAACTTGAACATATCGTTACTGTCCAGCAACACAAAAGATTCATACCGAAGTCCCCTATCAACCGGCGGTTCAACGTCGCGTGTGACATTCGCCGAGACTTTAGCCCATCCCTCCCACAGAGCTCTCCAGTAGCATGCCTCAGCAGCTGGGGTTAGGTATCGTTCTCGGAAGGTTTTGATACTGTTATTGGCTATACGCTCTGCCTTGTCCGGGTTCTCCAAGAGTTCGTCCATGAGCTTCGGGAGATCGGAGAAGTCTCTCTCGACTTCCACGTAGTTCTGTTCCGGACCGGACGATACGAGGAGATAGTGGTGATGTTGGATATACTGCAGCTTGTGAGCCACGACAACGGACCGACAGGCTTGTCGGTATTTAAGGGATGCCGAGTATGCGCGACCTGAATATCGACGATATCTGTCAGCCTTGTACAGCAAAGTTGGGTTGTGAATAAAATGTACCTTCGACATGCCCGATAAACATGTACCGACAGTGATCCTCCATCGACAAGAAGTTGGCCTTCTTGCTCCAATCCAACTCCTTCACATCACTCCAAGGCTTACCCCGTGCAATGTCCAAGAGGGTCCGACGCAGCTTTGGTGCAAAGCTCAACTTACCCCGCCAGACCAGCTTCCGTTCTTTATCCGCGAATTTCAGATTGGATTCAGCCGCCATGATGCTCTGTACGACTTGTCCGTATGGGCCGATGTTACTCTTGGCCCAGGACCAGTATCCGAAATCGGGCATCAGAATGACCGACTCCTCAGATGCTTTTCTCGATAACACCCAGACCGGGTGGCTGGCCGCATCAACGTCATCCACGCGATCTTCGATCGAGAAGACAAACTCGATTGTGGGGTGCGAGATACGGTTTGAGGACGCAGATAGCGCCCGATGGATAGATCCTAGAGTACTAAGGATCTTGCGCCGATGATCATCCCCTTTTGCTCTTGTCGCCACGACGTACAAGTCTCCGTTGGAGATAATAGCGCGGGCCATGCCATCTTGGAATGGGACCATGCTCAGATCGTCTCTCGATATTCCCCCTTGCGACTTCCAATACGCGACTCCTCGCTGGATGTCCTGGAAGAGACCGGGGAATGCTGCCTGGCACTGACTCTGGCTCAGGCCTAGGTTCTGGTCGTCTCTTCCGTATTGGAAACTCCAAGTTGCGAGGTGTTCTGGTTCCGATAGCGGTGGTGAGGCGAGACAGGTGAGGCAGTCGGCGCATTGAAATGAAGTAGATGATTGGCAGGTGCAGTGGCCTGCTGGGATAAGTTGTGTGAGGAGCTGGGGGACATTATCACGGTCTGAGTTCATCCCGAACCATATCAAGTAGATGAAAACACCGCAAGCGCCAATGGCAACTGTGAATATCATCCGCCGAGGGGAACACCACCTGTTCCATGGTTGGTGCATGCTGAGAATGCTGAAAATGGCGAGAATGGTAAGTGGAATACTGGGGGAAATTAAGAAGAACACCAAAACCTCCCTCAGGCAGAAGAATAAGCCAGCTCAGAGATTGTCTTAGTCTACATGGGGAGGAACTAGGGACAACGGGGACCTTTTGCCCGGACAGGTAAGGATATGATCCACGAACGGGTCGCCTAGTCCACATTTAGATGCAACTAAATGACCCGCAGGATCAGCGCCTCTAACGGTCTCAACCAACGGGATCTGACATTTATGAGCTGTCGGTTAGTGCCCGAGCTAAGAACCACTAGACCCACTAGCTAATACCGCCCAAATGTAACCCTAAAACTTTTCCTACCAAATTAGGGGGGGTTGGCCTCAAAAGTGAAGCAGCAGCTAAATGTTCACCATGAGAATTCTAGTACGGTTTGGTACATTTGAAAGAGCTTTAACCCCGGACTACTTTGTTCCAGTCTTTAAGGAACAATGGGACACCATCTCCAACTAGATTCTGGGAACTGAAAGCCAAAACTGCGATCCTGTGGCCCTAAATACATGCATATGGGATACACCTCCTATCCGATCAACACGGCCCAGCCCCATTTAGCAACCCATGACCCGGTCAATCTTGATCATACAGCCGTCGGCGATTTGCTTGCGTCCACAATGGCTGCAATGGCCTTGGTTGCGAATTTCATTGTAGGCGTCCATCAAATCCTGCCCTATAACTTCACAGTGGCTGCCGCTGACAAAAAGACCGCAGGTTCCACTACAAGTTCCGGTATTGGAATGGCTTTTTCGAGTTAGTGAAAAGTCAAATCATCCATTCTCATTGAACATAGACATACTCGAGATAAGTGCTGTAGGTGTTGCTGGGAACAACCTTGCGATAAGCAGCGTCACAGCTAGAACCGAGTTTTTCGCAAAGAGCAGAGCCCTTGCAGTCGATGTCCCCTTTGGCCAAGGCTATCAAAACTTTGGCGGTCTCCGCAGAGGGTTTGGTTTCAACCATAACGGATGTATTGCCATTGAAAACGGGGAACTTTTCACCCCTAGCAAGGATTGGGCCGGGGATTGCTGCCGCAATGGTGGCCAAGACAGTGACGGCATAAACGGCGTGGTTGATAAGCTGCATTGTGGTGGTTGGGTAAAGGGCTCTTGGTCAAAGAAAGACAGAAAGATGAGTGCGTTGGTAGTAGAGAAGCTGTCCAGAGACAGCGAGCATCGACCCTTTTATATCCGCCCAGTCACGGAAATGTCCTACGACACAGCACTAGCTATGCGGAGACATATGACGGAAGTCGTGGTCACCTTTGCATATCATTAACTGGATTGGTATCAGACTCTGGTGATAATGTTTACTTGATAAGCGACTACCATGGCAGGGTCCGGAGCAGGCTCAGCCATCCATCATACTTTACAAGCAACTATTCAATACCATATCTGATCAAGGATGGGCACACGTTGTAGATTCGGTGCTACTATGTTCTGTGAAGCCCAAAGTCCATGTTAATGCACCTGATAAACACAAAAATGTCAAATAAGCCATGATCCTTCGGCCTCAGTTGAGTTAGTTTTGTAGAGCCAACAACTCTATAGAAAATGAATATTGTATAACGTTTCCCTACGGGTCTAACCTATCTAAGCATCCTCTGGCCACTGCATTGCTAGCTCAAAACTGTTACCCGAAGATACGCCCCAACTCAAGAAGTTTCATTGATTGGCACATGAAGGTGGATAGTTCTAGGTGTTTTTACGCTATATCCCATGATTGGTCTGCGGTGCTTGTTGTTGCCCTGTTCATATGGATCAGAATCCCTGTTGAACGGCGATCAATGACCACCGTGCTCGAGAAATTTGAACAGATCTCGTTGCCACCGGAATTCCAGCACAGGTAATGATCCTCCTACATTAGTTGATGTTGCATCACGTTCAGAAACGAAGCAGGAATAGGGCTAACAGGAGCTAGCAGGGGTCGGGGATACCCGGGAGAAAGGTCGAGGACCCTCAGAATTCAAGAACAAGTCTTACTTACCAAACGTAGCAACATGAGAAGCTAGAATGCCTAAATTCCATAAGCCCCTTAATCCTAACGTGGCTCTAATAGAGAAAATAGCCCTGTAGAGGTGATAGTTAATACTGGGCTGTGATGATGTAAGCGGGTAACCTCAGGACCAGGACGGAGTACGAAGACCCATAGCGCTCAGGGTTCATACCCCCCTTTCGGAGGGATTCTTGAGACCTGAATGCCTGGATTAGCACCGTTCTCGCCACCGCCCTATACAATGTATTGTATATTTCAATTACAAGTTCAAAAAGATGAAGCCTTTGGATCCATATGTTGTACAAATGTCGGCATCTCCACATTTCTGAGTGGTTTACAAGTTCAAGAAAACCCTTTTTCATTTATTTCTCAATTTCAATTAAAGGGGAAAACAGGGGGCAGATTGTATAGTGGGAAGGATTCAGTGATGAGAAATAAGGGAAATTTAGGATTTGTGTCACATTTGATTCCCATTTTCCAAGGCATTGATGTTTTCGACGAAGGGCTCTGTTATGGTAATTCAGGTATTTCGATTTTCTGCCGCTCTAAAATAAGGTATTCAGACATCAAACCCCTCTAAAAGGACGTTTGAACCCTGAGCGCTATGGGTTTTCGTAGTACGGAGTACATCGGAATCTTTTTTTTAGGTATCCCCGAGCTGTAACCCGGCAGGAATACTTTCATGGACAAGGTTCTTACGAAAGCCCGAAAGCTCGATGGCAAGGGTCGAGTGTCAAAAGTACCGCAGGATCGAGTATTAGTTATGGGACGATTATACGATCATCATAAAGCTGTGGAGTACTCCACTTTTCTAGAGGCACTATTGTTATTATAAATAAGCTTAGCGTCGGTCGAGGCTGTATCACAATCTCGTTAAGGCAACACTAATATAATATAACAAGCTTAGCGCGGGCGACGGTCTCCCATGGTCCGGCGCACCGTATGGATCGAGTATTATGTAATTATACAAGGATCATACGTTTATCATAGTTAGACACTATTGTTATTTGTTATTATCTGAAAGCTTAGCGTCGGTCAGGGCCGTGCCGCAATGATCAATCTTGAGACGAACACTAATGCACGGGCGTACATTTCTAACTTAGTGCTAGCGACGATCTCCCAGGGTCCGGCGAACTGTCGGTCAAGGCCGTGCCCCAATCTTGAGACAACACTAATGCACGGGTGTACATTTCTAGCTTAGTGCGAGCGACGATCTCCCAGGGTCCAGCGAACCGCCGCAATCTTGAGACAACACTAATGCACGGGTGTATATTACTAGCTTAGTTGTCCGCCAGTAAGATGCCAATAGGGGATATCCATTGAGACCATGTATTTTCTTTATTGGTACCCTTCTCCGTTGTACGATTCGGGAAAAGGAGCCAGTGGCTAGTCCACTGCGGAGTTCGCCCGTGGCTGTATACTAACAATCAGCTAACAACATAGCCTTAAGCAATTGGTTGATGCAGCATATTCCTTCTTTGGAGGGACGCTTGGCATATTGGAATGGCCTAAATGTCCCCATGTACCTTACTATTCTTGCGAGTTTGCCAGGTACCCAGCCTTCAACGACCCGTAGATACCCGACTATTGTCCTGTCTGAGAGCTCCCACTATGGGTTGGAATCGAGTCTATATAAGACGACTACAAACCCAATATACTGGAGGTTAGATGAAAACACAAATCCCTTTCCAAAACATCAGTCCTGCTTCTTAAGTAACCAAAGGTGCACGCCGTCGTCATGAAAGCTTTTACCTTTATGCATTTTGGACTTGCCCTCTCTGCTGCTCTGGGAGCATTAGCCAGCCCAGCGAGCCTTAGGTCTCCTACATCAAATGACTTGGATGTCAGAAACGAAAACAATCGCCAGATTCGGTACCCAGGAGTAAGTCTTTTAAGGTTCACTGAGGTACGAGACGAAGGGCCTGATATTTTCTAGGACTGCTTTCCAGAAACCAATCAATGCCATTATAAGTCACAAGATGGCCTGAGAGCTATCTGTCGTTGCGAGTTCAAAATGGTCATTTGCCCTCGACCCCTTTACTCCAGGAATATGCTGACTTCTACGCACAGTGCACCAACGCAATTAAGAGCAAGGATTGTTATTTTGATTCTTTTACTAGAAAGTGTATCTGTCAGGAGGCCGTGAATTAGCGACTGTAAGACATACAAGTTTGCTGCATTTCAGTATATGTTGTCCTGTTTTCTACACTATACCAGCATTGAGTATGAACTGTTATCTCGACGTCTATGATTCGCCTCACTGTACTCCGTATTTTCGACTCTGCTGGATTCCCCTAGATAGCTAGCGTATCTAGCCCCAGATATCGAGTCATTGATCCCCAGTGGGTCTCCTACCCTAAACAGCCTAAACAGTGACGTGTCAATAATGGTATATCACCAATGGCATACGGGTGTGATTGGAAGCAAAAGATTGTTGCTGCCTGCCACAGAGACTTCTCATTTTCTTTATCCACTCAGCCTTTTCTTATTTTATAAATAATATATTGTCTAATCCCATTGCACTTTACCTCTCCTACGTTTTCCTACGTTTACCTCATTTCTAGAGATTCACCCTCTTGACACTCATCACCAATCGGTACTGCCAGGTCTTTAACTTCCCGAACTTAGGATGCACGACTTACTAAGAGATTCACCGAGCTCAGCACCGCGAGCTAGCTCTGGCGGCTTCGCTGCATGCAGCCGAGCGGATCGGGCGGACCTGGAGGAGGCTGCTCGAGCAGGGAATTTCGACATCCTCCAATCGGTGGCATGTAACAGAACATGGATCATGGGCCAAAGATATTGCCGGAACCGGGCGTCAATTGATTCCTGCGAGTCGTATCTGCATTCTCTCTGGTGCGTCTATTACCAATGCGCCAGGCATGTCTCCCACGAAAGCTTTGAGCAAGACAGATGGGTCCTCGACATCCTCCGGACACGGGGACACGGGCCTCTAACCAGA